CCTTCCCTAGCGATCCCCCCCCCCTCTATCCTTTGACACTACTTCTCATCCCCTTTTCTTCCCTTCTGTGCCCCAAATTTCTCCTAACATTCCCCCCGGCGCAGTCCCTACCGTGAGGCTGCCTCCGCAAAGGATCCCTTCCCCCCTTCTGCCTGCTAACCTTCCCCCTCCTCTCGCTTCAGCCCCTCCTAGCCATCTCGGACACCAGTCAGTACCAGGGCCCCCGGCCCAGCATCTATCTTTTTCAGGCTCAATTCACGTGCCAGTTCATTGTCTCGCCACAGCAGTCCCTCTTCCAGCTCCACCCAACGCGGTCGCTATGGAACCACCTCCAGTCTCAACCCACCTCCGTTCCCTAATTGTATCAGAAATTCAGAACATTGGCTCCGGATGCAGACTCCAACCCAACTCCAGTTCCTCCCTATTCAGAACTCTTATTCCTCTAGACCACCCCCTCAGACCTCTTCATACCCCATCTACCAATACCATTTTACAAGCCGTCTCTCCCAGAACACTCCAAACCTACTGGACAGCGTGGAGTTCTTTCAAAACCTTCCACAGAGCTCATAACATGGGTTTTCCCCGAGTTTTCCCTCCTCTTTCATCTTTTACCTCAATCTCGCCAATTCAATTAAACCAGGATCAACCAAAGTCTACCTCAGCGGCATCCATTTCTTTTTTCAAACTCATCTATGGCCAACAGTGCCCCAACATTTCAAACCCTCAGATCTCTCTCCTCCTCAAAGGTTTACAAAAACCAATCCCCCTCGTCCAGACTCTAGACAGCCCCTAACCCTCAATCTCCTCATCATCTGCCTAACTACTCTCCATTCGGGTTTATTTCCCCCTAAAAAAAACAGAACCTTGGATGCTCAATTTGGCTTTCTTCGGCTTCCTCAGAGTCTCAGAACTCACCACCAACTCAAACTTCAACCCAGCCATACATCCCATATTCTCCGACCTTCAAATCATAAACCACGATATCATACGTTTCAACATCAAACAAAGCAAAACTGACCAACTGAAACACGGCCATTCAATCTTCATCTTCAATTTGCCAACCCCCATCCAACCATATCAGTCCATAGCCCTTTTTCTTCACCAGAGGAAATCCCAAATTACCTCTTCTCTCGACCCTCTTTTTACAGATGATAAAAACGCTTTGGACGTCCGTGGCCTGTTTCCCTTCAGGGCCGAGGACACCCTGCCCCATCCGTGACATCTAGGGGCCCCTTGGTATTTTTTACTTCATAGGGCTCCATGGCACGGATGTGCAGCGGGGTGGACTTCCAGCTACGCTCTCAAACCTCCAGTCCTGAGATACTCCCGCAGGAGTAATTCCAGGAAAGTCACTGCCGCAGCAGTGCAGCAGTAAGATGCTCCTTAATTAAAGTTCCAAAGCGCGGCTCTCTCACCATCATCATTAGTATAGCTTAAAAATTTCACTCCTTTTGGGGGGTATCACCATTATTCTTCAAGTACTTGGGTATCCCGTATACTTAAACCCTCAGATATGTTGATCTCGCTAAACTCAACTTGCTGTCCCAAATTTATTTCTGCACTTTTAGGGGGTATATCAGAGCTCGAGTTGAAGCTGCTTCATCGAGCCCCTCACCAGGGGACAGCAAGCCAAATAAGTTTACACACAATTTCCTTAAATATTATATGGGCAAACAAACTTGCTAAATAGAGTTCCTTAACGTAAGTTAGGGAGGAGCGAGCCCATCTAATCTTTCAATCAACAGCCAGAGTATATAAGCAGCTGCTTACCTCTCTCCAGTCGCAGCTGTTCCAGCATTCCTCCACCTCCCCAAAACTCCACCTTCATCTTAGGTAACTTGCCCTTCGTAATCATCCTATATCAAGTCCCTGGGGGTATATCATTCAGAAAGATGATGTTAACAGCTCACAAAGAGCACCGTAAAACAGAAAACCTTACCGATGCTTTACATACAGAGTCGGCATGAAATCTGCTGAAGTTTGTCTTGTTATACACAGGTAGACCTTTCAGGAAATCTGCCTTCAAAACATTCAGAGACAAAAAAAGAGGTTAAAATCAAACGCTTGATTGAAATATACCAGAAGCTTGATATTAGACAGGTCTTCATCTAGAGGGAAAAAGACACATTTTTGTTCACTTATCCCTGAATTTAATAAGGACATGATTCAGTGAACATAAATGGTCTTTTACAAAAATACTGTAGCCTCCTTTTAATCTCTAGAGATCTACTGACAGTTTACATACAGCTTACCATCCCAGAAAAATATAAATTGCTCATAACTGACCATAAACTCAATCTGACAGATTTAAAGCAGTCAGACAGAAAGCAAGAGGCATTAAGCTAGCAATCAATGACAGGATCATAAATGCACATCTAAATAATAAATCTCAAGAAATGCACCTCATCTGCAAGTATGCTGAGAGAGTAAACTCAAATGCAGATGGAGGATGATGCATGTCAACCTCTGGGCGGTGCCAGTCTAGTCCACTAGATGTGTGAAGGACATAAGCTTCATCTTTATTCATAAGATTCGTATTTAATCATAATAACACTAGTGAAATAAACCTATCCAGGTCGTGACTGTTGAACAAAAGCTTTGGCAAGTCTCGCTCGCGCGTCTCAGCACGCGAACACAAGCTAAAACTTTAGCATACAAAAATGACACGTGTGAGGAGATTTGAAGATCACTCAAACACCAAATCATCTGGTAACCATGAACACACGTTTTACAACCGGATTCAAACACGCTAACGGGTTTATTTCAGGCTGTTGCGGTAATAAAAGTGTATATGGACTATCCATGAGTGTCTGAAGCGGCCTAGCATGCTAACTCAGTCACCGAAGCAAGCGACTCAAATCTCACCGATACAGTTAAGACTTCAGTATTTTAGAGGATATTTCAACGCCCAGTCCTTTGACGCTGTGGTTACTCAGCTGTGACGTGAAAATAAGATGAAGTTTTGAGTGCAGGAACTTACTTTGTCCATAGTGAAGTCAGCTCAGTCCTGTATGTGTGTGTTTGTACTCAGACAGGCCTGAACACTGACAGAAATCAGAGATTTGAAGCCGGTAACACTCACTCGTACTACTGAATACGACACTAAAACACAGAAATACGCGTGAACACAAATATACAGCAGCTGACGTTATAGATCTCACAGATACCGACTGACTAGCGACTAGCGTCTCGCTCTCTCTCTCTCTCTGTGTGTGTGTGTGTGTCTCTCTCTCTCTCTCTTACTCTCTCCATCTCTCTCTGTGTGTGTGTGTCTCTCTCTCTGTCTGTGTGTGTCTCTCTCTCTCTCTCTCTCTCTGTGTGTGTGTATGTCTGTGTCTGTGTCTCTCTCGCTCTCTCTCTCTTCGGTGTGGTGTGTGGTGTTTGTGTGTGTGTGTGTGTGTGGTGTTTGTGTGTGTGTGTGTGCATTCGGTGTGCTCCTCTGTACTCTTACAGAACTCAGCATGCAGTGCTTCAATCGGATTTTTGTCCCATTTTTCAAATTGGTGATTTAGGAGAGGACTCCACACTTCACTGCCATATAATGCAATAGGTTCTAGGACTGATTGGGATATTTTGAGCCAGATTCTTATTGGCATTTCAATTTGGATAGATGTTTTGATGGCATAAAAGGCCCTTCTTGCTTTCTCTTTCAGTTCATTCACAGCCAAATTTAGCTTGCCCGTTGCATTTATCTTCAGCCCGAGGTATGTATAGTTTGTGACATTTTCAATTTTGGTCATACCAAGGGTGAAGCTGTGTCTCTCCCTGAACTCTGGGTCTTTTCTGGAATGTTAGTACTTTAGTTTTGTTAGGATTAATCGTCAGGGCCCAGGTCTGACAGAACTTGTGCAGGATGTCTAGGCTCTGCTGTAGACTCTCTTCTGTTCTCTCTCTCTCTGTGTGTGTGTGTGTCTCTCTCTCTCTCTGTGTGTGTGTGTCTCTTTCTCTCTCTCTGTCTCTCCGTGTGTGTCTCTCTCTCTCTCTCTCTCTCTCTGTGTGTGTGTCTCTCTCTCTCTCTGTGTGTGTGTCTCTCTCTCTCTCTCTCTCTGTGTGTGTGTCTCTCTCTCTCTCTCTCTGTGTGTGTGTGTGTGTGTGTGTGTGTCTCTCTCTCTCTCTGTGTGTGTGTGTGCTGTAATTTTCTGTCATGCGTGGTGTGTATAGTACCAAATCACGTCTTTACAAAGTCTTTACCATGGTAACCGTAATGTCCTTCAAAATACAGTAGCCATGGTTGTTGCTATAAAATCTATAAAAAGAACCTGGCATTAAACACAGCTGTTCAAGCCAATCAGGGTTATTACAGTAATCTGAAACTAAAACTAAACTTATAAAAATACGTTTTTATTAATTAAATTTCAGATTAACATGTCAACATTTCTCATTTTCATTTAGCCTAGTTTAAAGGGGTCATATGATGCGATTTAAATTTTTCCTTTCTCTTTGAAGTGCTACAAGCTCTTGGTGCATAAAGAAGATCTGTAAAGTTGCAAAGACTAAAGTCTCAAATCCAAAGAGATATTCTTTATAAAAGTTAAGAGTCAGCCATGCCTACCTAAAACGGCTCGTTCTAACACCCCCCTACATACCTACCTCACTATGTGGGAAGATTTGCATAACGCCGCCCA